TGTCAATAACAAGTCGGGTTGATTTCAGGTCCGGTTTGTAACATGTTGGGTTAAATTCGGGTCGGGTTAGGAACGGGTCGATTAGTAACAAGTCGGGTTAAATTCGGATTTTGACTGGTTAAAACGGGTTTGGGTCAATTTCGGTTCAAGTCGGGTTCGATCCAGGTCAATAATTTACGGGTTACATTCGAGTCGGGTCATCTCCAAGTCAGTTCATGTTCGGGTTTGGGTCTTATATACTCGGGTCAACTCGGGTCAAGTGTTGGTTTCAGGTTGGGTTTGGGTCATCATTTTTTCGGGTTCAGATGGGTCGGTTAATTATCGGATTTGAGTCGATATTTCGAATTGGGTCAATTTTTGACAACTCTACTCAGGTCTATACGTACTAGAATTCTCTAATAGTATGTAATAGATACTTGCTTTCAAATATTTAATGATTTTGTTGAAAATTTAAATTAAGTCTTACATGCATAAGTTTTACATAGCTTTTTTTTAAAAAAAAAAAAATATTTTTCTAGTTAATTACTGTATTTTTTTTCAATGGCCACCAATATTTGTCATAATAAATAATTTTTCATTAACCTAGGTAGCTGGATCTATCTACTCTTCCTCTTAAGTCTTAACTGTCAATCTAGCTGATTACAAAATTGCTTCTCGTCCTCGACTCAAGGTTATCACGGGCTTTTTTATGTGGCCGATGATAGGCTTAAATTGAAGATTCTCTCATCTATATAATGAATAGGATCAAGATTTCATAACATCATCATGAAACAGAAAGAGTATTTTTTTTTTTTTAGATATATGATACAGTATTAAGAAATATTGGTCGACTAACTAGCTAAACAAATACAGTATTAAGAAATATCAGTCGAGTAATTAGCTTAGCTACCTAATGTAAATAAAGAACTGATGTTTCGGCCTATGTCACGGAAGAACGAAGGTAATATAAGTCACAAGCGAGACAAACAAATTCAAAGCAAAGTCGCCTTAAATATCACGTACGAAAATGTTCCAATAACAAGGAGAAGCAAGTCGAGAAAGACAAACCTAAAAACTCATTGAAAATGTTGTGGTTCTTAGGGGTAGGGGTGTACACCGGTCCAAAACCGGACCGGACCTGGACCGGACCTGTTTGGACCGGGGACCTGAATTGGGTAATTATGAGGACCGGGGACCGGACCTGAATTAACAGGTCCGGTTCCGGGCCAGACCTGAAAAATCAGGTCCGGTCCGGGTTTGGACCTGAATGGACCTGTTTTGTGTCTTTTTCGTTTTTTTTTTTTAATACAAAACCTGTTGGACCTGCATATGGACCTGTTTTGTGATTTTTAGACCTGTTGCATAATTTAATAATTACATACAAACCAAAATTATCAATTACAAAACTACATAAAGTCTATAAAGTCCCAATTCTCAAACACCAAAAATACAAATGAGTCCACCGAAAATACAAATAAGTCCACGAAAACTCATAAAATTACATAAATTCTCTTAAGTCTCAACTCTCAACTCTCAAGTACTAGGAATACATAAATTCTCCAACGAGTTGTTTTCCCTTTGATCGCGTGATTCACACTAATGAGTCCACGAAAACAACTTCATCGTCTACATCGTTAGATTCACCACGTTGCACCTCTAAATAAAATACAATATAGAATATATTAATGATTGATAACAATGAAATAATAAATTTGGTGTAACAAAATTTCAAATACATAAAATTATTACTACCTTTCTCTATTTCCTCTAACTCTTTCAAATTTTCTTCCACATCAACAATTGGCACTTCCTTAGCTCTAAGCCAATCTTGTGTGCAAAGTAACGCTTGAACCATCTTCAATACAAAAATATTACACAAATATGTATAAACAAAGTCATATTAAGATATAAACAAACTTGATTTTATAAAATAAAAAGATAACGATGCATTACCTTAGGAGTTAAAGAACTCCGAAATGGATCTAGAGTACGACCTCCCGTACTAAAAGCAGATTCCGATGCAACGGTCGACAATGGGATGGCTAGTATGTCACGTGCCATGCGATTAAGAATCACATAACGCTGACCATTCTTACCCCACCATGTCAATGCATCTTGTTCTTCCTCCTCCCGCCCCGCTTTTAGCTTCTTATCAGGAGGCAAAGTAGATTGCAATTCTTCCATATCCTTTTCAGAAAGTGGCTGTGACGTTTGTTCAGAAAAAGAAGCAGACCGTTTGGATTGAGAGCTCTCCATCTACAATATAATTATATACAATATAAGTAATTTTAAAGTAACAATTATATACACATACCATTTTATAAAAAAATTTAAGAGCAACTTACATTGCAAGAATAAGAATCCGTGGTTCCTTGACTTCCTTCACTCCCTGCAAGAATAAAAACAAAAATAAGAACCCCTGAACTACACACAGGTTAGCCAACTTATTTAATCTTAATAATCTGAGTCCATACTTTTAGCAGCCTAGCAGGAATAAACACAAATTTTAAAGTATAAGTTAGCTTAAAAAGTGTCCATATATACACATTAGAAATATCAATACACATTAGAAATACTTTCAACTTTCTGAAATTTATGTTAAGAAAAAAATGAGAGAGGCATTGCCCACACAACACAACACAACACAACACAACCAACTTTCTGAAATTTATGTCAATACCCAGATCCACCACTGCCCACACAACACAACACAACCAGCTTCATTGGCAGCCCCACCCCTAGCCGCCTTCCCTGACACTCCAACCATGGAATCCACCCCACAATAGGTAGCTGGACAGTTGGAGACACGAGCTGCTGATTTTCTGAATTTGAGGAGTCGGCAGTAGAGCTACTTGCACGATGCAGGGAGGCACTAGAACTTGAAGAGTCTGAGAAAAGGTTGTCCTCGAGCGCAACAGACATTCTGAATCCACCCCCTACTTGAGATTGTGTTCGAATTGCAGTAAAGGGGGCATAAGGATCTCCTAGAGGAATAGCAGCCCTTGAGTGTATAGTAAAGGCAGTAGCAGCCCCCCTATTTTCCTCATTTAAGGCTGCTATGTTCTCCTCAATAAACCGAGTTGAATTGGGGTGAATGGGTGATGGTATGATTCCGGAGTGGTTGGGTCTGCTATGTTCTCACTCAACCACTCCAAAACCCCCTCCAATCCAAAACACCACCCAGCCACCCCGAAAACCCATCTCCACTCTCGGTGACCCTACCAGCCACCACGAAAACCCCATCTCCACTCCCGACAACCCCATCAACATTCACAATTTTCCATCCAGCCATCCCAAAAACCCCATCTCACCACCCCAACCCACCCCACCCCACCCCACTGCCACCCCTTAACCCCCACACACCAGAACCGTACCACCGTAACCCCACCATAACCCCACCCCAACCCACCCTACCACACAAATTTTCGCACTAAATTAATCTTAATATCAAGGAGCTCCACAAAACTATCTTTGTCATCACGTTTGAGTATGCCATCCAATTCAGCATAGAACTCCTCATTCAACATCGTAGTCTGAAGCGTAAAGTAAATAAACAAAAAAGATAAAAGGAATCGAGTAATATAGGATAGAAATCGGAACAGGGGGTACAAATACGAACCCAAAGACTAAAGTTATAACCAAAGACACTCAATTTCAGAGGCACATTCCAACTTATCATATATCAACCAAGCTAATTTCTACCTTTCTCTCAATTTCTAGTTTTGAAATCAAAATAATTGCATTTTCTCTAATTTCAAAGTCCAACCAAAAGGAGTCTAAGAAATTCAGGTACTTGACAAAAATAAACAATGCAATCATGATGAAAAACTAATTGTCCTCTGCTACAATCCCATTACCAAAACATAAAAATAAATAAATAAATAAATAAAAGGTTTGATGATGACATACAATTTTCTTCACAAATTCACACATAAATTCATGTATGTTAGCTAGGATAACAAAGTAATTTTACTATTGGAAACTTGCAGTTGATACAATTCCAGACGAACACACCAACATTTATTGACCCAACAAATTCAACATGCAAACATCAAACAATCATTAAAAGCAATTGAAAATTTGAAACAAGAATAAACATATAAATTCTCACACTTAATTTATTATTTCGAATTAAAAATACCAAAATTATAAGCAAATACTTACCAGATATTATCGGTGTGCATCGCCTGAGAGAATGAGGGAGGTGTCGGCAGTGGGCGGTGGCCGGAGCGAGTTGGGACAGCCGGACAGCCGCGTTGAGAAGTTGAGATTGAGGGAGGCTGAGAGTTTGGGCTTAGGGAGTTAGGGTTAGAACTTCAAAATATGAAATTGAAAGAGATTGAGGGAGGCAGAGAATCAGATTTTTTTTTTTTTTAATTACGATTTCCCGGGTTTCAGGTCCGGACCTGAAAACCCCGGGTTTGGACCGGGACCGGACCGGGACCGGGAACCTGGATTTTTAAGAACCGGGACCGGACCTGAATCAACAGGTCCGGGTCAGGTCCGGTCCGGTTCAGGTCGGTTCAGGTCCGGTTTCAGGTCCGGGCCAATTTTTGTACACCCCTACTTACGCCTAGTTAATCTTAGGGCCTGTACTCTTCGGCTTAATTTCAGTTCAGTTCCTAATTTCAACTCTATTCAATTTAATTCAAATACGAGCTAATAATGCTTCTTTTTAAAAATTTGTTAATGGTTTATCAATCAATATACATATTTATATTTATAATATAGAGTACATTAAACAAAATTTAAGAGAGAAATTAGAAAAGAAAATCGGAATTTGAACCGTTGGATTGAAAAAATCATATGACTATTTGACGAATAATGTATGCAAAGACAAATCAAGGGTCAAGAAATGTGTGCTTTGCATGCACTTTACCTCATTTTTTTTCTTTTTTCTTTTTTTTTTTCAAATTTTATTTTAAATTCATTTTATCTCATTCCACAGCTTTCCATAGAATATTCCTCCCTATAAAATGGACAGTTTTAGTCTTTTTCTATAAAAAAAAAATTCTCCTAATTTCTTAATATAATTTTAATTTTAATTTAATCAACAAAAAACTAAATTCTTGCCAACTTTAATCCAAAAAACCTTCATACAATCACACCCTTTCGGCTTTCGCATTTTGTCACTATCTTATGCAAACTCATTTAAAATCCAAGTATTTTAGCTTCTCTTCTTCTTTAAACTCCTCGTTTTCGTCGAACTTCTCTTTCTCTCTCTACTTTCTTTCTCTCTCTAACATTGTTTCTCCTTAGAAATAAAAGCCATGAAAATACTTGTACTATTTTGCATGGTTATTCTAATTTCCATACTTTCTAATTATGGTAATTTTATCATTATTACTGAAGCTGCTCCTCCTAATTCTCTCATTACTCAACTTCCTGGATTTTCTGCCACTTTCCCTTCTAAGCATTACTCAGGGTATGTGTTATGTGTATTTATGTCTTTTTTTCGATTTCATATTTTTCTCGTTTTGTTGTACATCTGTTAGAGATATGAGATATAATCAATATCGAAGTATATAAAACTTTTGAGAGTTTAAAAGTTTTATTATATAGTTCATCATTGGGTTATTTAAATCATAATTGTATGATTCAATGTATTTTTAGTGACATTTTAAAATGTTACAATACGAAAATTTAGTGTTTTTTTCATAACTACCGTAATTTTTCAGTAACTACCTACTCTCTTGTATTTATTTAATTAATTAATGGTTAATACTCCGTAATAAGTAATAATACATGTTCTTGGGGAGACAAGTGTGCATCAAACACTCGTTACACTCCAAATTCAATTTTTAATAATAATTTACTAGTCGAGGTTAAGTCACCAACTTATCGCATTCTTTGTCTTAATTTAAATTTCGAATTTTATTTGTATTGACGGAAAGAAAATTACCATTAATCAAATACTAGGATCATTTAATTAAAGGTAATGCTATATGTAACTATATATAAGCATTAAATACACTTGTATAAAATTAGAAATTTATGACAAAAACAAGCGCAAATTAGTGTAATAAGTGTTTATATTTTTATGATTTACGATTTTTAAATGTAAATTTAATGTTTATATGTAACCTTAAGGAATTCTTTTAATTAAAACGAGTTTTTATCTAAGATAATGTATATAATTGCATCAAAACAACTTACTACGTAATAATTTATACTCGAGCACAGCTCGAAATCGACAACTTCTATCGATGTTAGCATAATTGTGTTTCCTTGTATACAAATTAAGGTACATCACATTAGACGGACGTCAAAATAATAAAACATCACCACCAAAGAATCTATTCTATTATTTCGTGGAATCAGAAAGAAATCCAGACAAGGATGCTGTTGTATTATGGTTAAATGGTGGTCCCGGGTGTTCGAGCTTTGACGGGTTTGTTTATGAACACGGTAATTTATTACTCTCTCTGTTCCTTTTTATTATTATTACTACGAGTACGTATGTACGTAGTAATTTTATTATGTAAACTAGCTAGGAGGTGTAACTTTGTATATATAGATTTTTTAATTTGCAGGGAATAGTAATGTCATTTTCTATTCTGATTTTTTTTTTTTTTTTTGCAGGACCATTTAATTTTCAAGCTGGTAAAACCAAGAACAGCCTTCCTTTGTTGCATCCCAATCCATATAGTTGGTCCAAGGTACTAAATATTAACTATACTATACTATACTACTCCGTATGATTTTTATTGATTCTAGGCATGTTCTTGTATAAATGTGATGAAATTAAATACTCATATATAATCGTAAATTAATTGTTAGGAGATCTTTAATTAGCTAGGGATCGAAAATTCGAAACATCTAATGCATCAAAAATAATGGAAAATAAACTAGAGTTATTAATTTTAGGATAATGCTATATGCAGCCCTTAGGGCTGCATATAAGCATTTAATATATTTCCTTTTTTAGTATTAAATTGAGAATTTATCAACAATTCACGAGTAAATCGGTGTAATAATTGTATATTTATTGTCAATTCTTTCCACTTTTAGCTTCTTATATGCAACCCTTAGGGCTGCATATATATTTTTCCTTAATTTTATACTTTAATTAGATGGATAATATTTTAAAGATAATTTACAACTAATTGACCAACATTAGTTATCCTACCTTTATTTAAAATTATGGTTTAATTGCTACTCCGTAGTATAGTATATGACATATTTTTTTTTAATAGGTAGCAAGCATTATTTATTTGGACTCTCCTACGGGAGTTGGATTGTCATATTCCGAAAATCAAACCAAGTACCAAACTGGTGACGTACAAACAGCCCGTGATACTCATACTTTTCTCTTAAAGGTAACGTGATTATATTAAATTAAACTTTGTAACTTTTATAAGTACAAAGTACATAATCGGCTTGACTAGCTAGCTTTACGTGTGTTGTTTGGAAATAATTGTCACGTTAATTTTAATTCTTAATGCTTTATTTATACGATTAATTTCAGTGGTTTGAGCAATTTCCGGAATTCAATAAAAATCCATTTTACGTAGCTGGGGAATCATACGGTGGAATCTATGTTCCAACCCTTGCATCTGAAATAGTAGAAGGTAAATATGATGAACAATCATACAAGTAGTAATTATTTTTTTGTTGATTAGTCGTAATTATTATCATTGATCATCATTAAGAAGTTTCTCATTATTATTTTATCAATTTCTACCGCATATGATTCAGTTTTATCTCTTTAATTATTGCAGGGCTTAAAGCTAAAGTTAATCCCACTATCAATTTCAAGGTAATAAAGTTGTCATATCATCATTATGTGACTAACACCACTTCAATTCCAAGTGGTTGATATTAATCTCAATCATAATTATCACCAAGAAGTGGCCTAATCAATATAGTAATTTATAATACACCCGTTTTCTAGATTCAGTTGTCACGATATTAATTCAATTTACACTATGAATGTAACTATATCTTAATTTTTATACTACACCACTTCCAAGTGGGTGACATTGATCTCACTCACAAATTCACAATCATGGCCGAGAAGTGCCATATTATATTTTGCACCACGACATCATCTGTCCAAATTTAATTTACACTATCAATGTATTAGTTCAATTTACACTATCAACGTGACGATTAATTATGTTTCATTCGGCTCTTAAATGCAGGGATACGTGGTAGGAAACGGTGTAACGGCAGAACAAAAATATGATGGGAATGCTTTGTTGCCATTTGCACATGGGATGGCATTGATATCGGATGATCTTTACAGGGTAAGCCTAAAATGTACCTAATATTTACAACCCACACGACCACACCCTCATGTACATGCTAGAAAAATTAGGTGCTAAACTTTAATTGCATGTCAAAACTATGTCATTTTTATATGAATAGTTTTGATGTATGATTAAATTTGTTAAGACTTTTAAAGTTGACATGTTATATGAGTAGTTTTGACAATTTGTACTCCCTTAGATCGAACTTGAGTGACTTATTGAAAATGATAGTCAAATTTGGTAGACCATAATCATTGATAAGCCAAAAGATATAATAATATTAAACATGCAAGTATCGCTTTTGGTTCAGGTTGGTTTAAGTCGTGTCAAGTTATGAATTAATCGATTTAATTTTTTTAATGTCATTAATCATTAGTTATTATAAACTCTATATTGGATCAAATTAGATGAGGTTAAATTTATCTCTAAAATCATGTAATTTTTCAAATGCAACCTGTACTAGTCAGACTTGAATATGTTTTCAAGTGTCAAACTCGGCTATTTATCGCCTATATATGAAAGGTCGGGGGTGTCCTATCCATATTGGGGTGTCGATAATGCAAAGTTGATGGATGTATAAAGGGGTAGAAAAAGGTTAAAAAAGAGATACACAAATCTAAAAAAGAGAGTATGAAAGAATGGTTGATTGTGCTGAATTGACCCACAAGAGCAGAAATGCTACAAACCCCCAAAAAATTCTTATAGAAATTGCTGACAACTTTCACTTTCGCACTGACCTCAAAAAACTGAATTAGTTTAAGCTTTATTTTGATGACATTGGCCTCAATTGCAGAGAGGTTTAGGCCCACTACCAAGTTGTTAGATAAAAGTCCAAAATTAGTTGATAAGCATGAAATCCTGGAATTGACTTCTCTTTTAGTCGGTACAAAATTAAGATTTTTACAATTTATCAAGAAAAAGAAATATAAAGAAAATAGTACTAATATGATGTCAAATGCATTTACTTCATATTGTACTATTTAACAAACTGCTGAACTGCCTACTGATGATGTTGCCTCATCATGCATAGGATTTTGTGTGCTCAAATCTACCAGGGGTATATTGGGGATAATCTTTGCTCGACCCTTTCAAATTAGTTTGAAGGCTTATAAAAGAAAAGAGAGTTAAACACTTTAGAGGCGTTCACATTTCTACAACAATCGAGTCTTTAATGTCATTTCGAAAGAGAGGAGGTTTAGAGAATTTGTAAAGCTAGTAAAATAAGCTTGGTTAAGTTAAGTTAAGGTAGGATATGTTTTGTCATTGCACTAGTAATTGGACCAAGACTTAAGCAGGCCCAAACATAATAAATTAAGAGGAAAGTAAATTGTCAAATGGTAACTAACTTAACTACTTTTGCCTCCTTTGAGTAGCATCATATTACCTCCGTTAAATGTTATGTGCAACTTTGGAATATTTTATATCTCACAAATAATACCCCAAAGTTGCACATAACATTTAACGGAGGTAGTATTATATCACTATGGTAACATCCGATGAGATTACAGAGTAGAATGATGCAAAAATCAAAACGTTTTAATAATTACTTCGTAATGCAAGTAAAATGGTTTATGTTATGCATTATTTCAGGAGTTTACAAACAGTTGTGGATTGGACATAGAAAGTGATGGCGTTCCTGAGTGCCAGGGTTACAGAGACAAGTTATATAAGGTATAATTATGTAACATTAAGTATTTTTCTACACATTTATATTAATCAATTTGCAAATAAAATCATTCCAATTGAAATAATGTTTAACTTGCAGGCTATACAAGGTTTAAATATATATGATATTCTCGAGCCATGCTACCATAACCCGGGAAATGAGCAAACACAGAATTTGAGCTTGCCTAACAGCTTCAAACAACTAGGTGTGACAGACAAACCACATCCTGTAAGGAAAAGAATGTTCGGTCGTGCTTGGCCTTATCAAATGCTTGTCAAAGATGGCCTTGTTCCTTCATGGCCCGAGCTTAACTCCTTACAAACTGATCGTCGAGTTTCTGTTCCTTGCACTGTAAGACCCTATTCTCTAGTCACGAATCTAATGTTGTACACATGTTATGTAGGTTGTACTACGAGTACATACTAACTTATAAACTTAATGAGCAACTCTTTGACAGTACAACTTATATTAATGTGATGAAAAAAATTATTATGCAGAGTGATGAAGTTGCTGCTGCTTGGCTAAACAATGAATCAGTCAGGAAGGCGATCCATGCAAAATCGGTATGATTGTTATTTTGTTGATGTTAAAAAATGTCTTTCTTACAAAGTTTATTTTCAATTTATTAGATTACAACTTTTTTCTAATCAACTAACCTTAATAATGAAATTTTATGATGGTGTTTATAGGTAAATGAGATAGGTTCTTGGTCATTATGTATGTCATTAGTGTTTAATCATGACGCTGGAAGCATGATTAAGTACCACCGAAACCTCACTACCCAAGGTTACAGAGCACTAATATATAGGTAAATGAGATGGGTTCTTCTTGATTTAATTATGATTTGGATTATCAAAGGCTATAGATTGGTTAATAACTTTAATTTGTTTTACATTTTACAGTGGAGATCATGATTTGTGTGTTCCTTACACCGGCACACAAGCATGGACTAGTTCACTAGGGTATCAAATTTTGGATGAATGGAGACCTTGGACGTCTAATAATCAAGTAGCAGGGTAAATTTTCATATACTACGTATTTCTTTGTTTTCAATCACTTGAAGTCCGATTGATGTATTTTTCCAGCAGTAAATTTGGATTCTTTAGAATTTATGTTCATTTCTTTCGTGTATGTATATCGTTTACAGGTATGTACAAGCATACGAGCACAATCTCACCTTTATCACCATCAAGGTTAGTCGCGATCTATTTGAGCACAATCTCACCTTTACATATCCAAATTTCGTTTTTGTGACAAATTTTATCTCCTGTCCAAATTGTGTGCATGGTGCAGGGAGCAGGACACACGGTTCCAGAGTACAAGCCAAGGGAGGCATTAGATTTTTTTAGCCGTTGGTTGGAAGGAAAGTCTATTTGATGGAAACCATCAAAAACTATAGAATTTAAATTTGGGAAAAAAAAAAAGAAAAGAAACAAAGATTTTAGGATTTGTGTTTCAATGATATAGCTGCAAAACTTCACTTGGTATAAATACAAAGATGTATCCTGCAGATTGTGCCAAAGAATGTTGGTACAGTTTAAATTTCAATGAAAATCATGTGTTGCTCTATTACAATGGTGAAACTAGAAACTTTTCGATGAATACGAGAAATAAGAAAACTCCTCGGAACACAAACTCATCACATACCATATAGTCATTTATCGCTTGCTGCAATATGCAACAACAATAACATCAAACCAGGTTGTACAGTATATCAGAAGGGGCAAATTATAATCAACAAATTACAATATTTTTTTTTTAATGATTTTACAAAATTTAAGGCTAACCGACTACAGCTATAGAGGATTACTTCCCAGGACCCTAATATAACTGGGCAAGTCTATCCTGTTCAAATTACAACTTCTGTAGATAGATATAGTAACTGAGTAACTATGGAAAATTACAGGACGACAATAAATGAGCAAAGAGCAAGAGAAGAAAAATAAAAAGTTTACAGCCAAGCTGACACTCCTGCTCTTACATCGTTCAGAGCCTTCGTCTCAAAGTTTTCTTATCCTACTTTCCTGGGTGTGAACCTCGGCAGGTTCAACAGGGTATTCACCCGGGTAACACCGTCTAAGGCTGAATAGTCATCCAAAAGCATGTCATCCTCTGTAGCAACCTTTTCATCGACCTTGATAGTTTGCTGATCAACAGTGGTTGGGCCATCGGCATGCTCTTTATCAGCCCCAGCTTCAGCTGGCTCTGCTGAAATTGGATGATCTTTCTCTTTGGAAGCAAAAGCAGAAGATATGTTGTCTGTGTTTGAGTCAAGGAAAAGGCAAACCACAGCACAATCATCTGTCTTAGAAGTCGGGTATCTCATTTTCCATCCTCGGACGGCTGTTTCAACCAGAGCTCTAGCAGCAGTGGATCGTGAAGGGGCTCCCGCTACAATGTCAACCACTTCTTTGTTCGAGAGGACATCCCAAATCTGTCAGGAGTTGCAATATGGTGTATAATTAATAAAAGGTTAGAGACAAAGGAATAAAAAAGAAAAGTGGTTGGTATTGAACACAAGTCATACCCCATCAGTAGCCAAAACAATGAATTCATCCTTCTCAGTGAGGCGCCTATATGATATGTCTGGCACCGCTATAAGGCCAAAATCCTTTAGGCAGAAGTCTCCAAATGCTCGTGCCATGGCAAGGCCCGGTGAATCATTGTTTGGCAGCCAAACCCGAGCAACATCAGGTTCATCTTGAAGTGCAAATACACGACCTCTACATTTCTTAATTCTCTCTGCTTCCGCTGAAATGAAGAAAAATAAAAACATGATGAACAACAAAAACTTCAAGAAATGCTGCAATACGCTAAATTTCAAAGGTACAGTAAGCCTATAGTGAAAGACTTCCACAACAAAAGCCAAAGAAACTAGGAAACAATCATGTTTGGCACTCTGCAATGTCCAAAACACATGCATATCCTATCTTAAATTGGAGCCACATCACACAGGCTCCTCCCCCCTCTCCGTCTTTGTTATTGCCAAATTATAAAGCAAATGGCAACTAAATTATCACCCGGTGTCATCCTACACAAAAATGCATAAAGAAGGCTCCTTTGCAGTCCTTATACTGCTTAAAGCTGTACAAGTAATATAACAGATACAAGCTACTTTCAAATTCAAATATCAATGTTTTGCAATAAACTAATTAAATGCATGGTCCTAATTGGTCTGATGATTTGAGGAATTGCAGCTCCTAGACTTCTATCCAGTTCTCTTGGCAATTTTTTTTTTCTTCAAAAAACGATTCCTAAACAGGTGCATAGTTAATAGAAAATCTAATGCACACAAGCAGCTCGCTCCACTAGACATGTTCATTGAAACCATCACTGAAAAAACACTATTATTGTCTTCTAAATGGGGAGCAAAGCATCAGCATCAGGGTAGTACAACCATATAGAGAACTGCGATCAGCTCAGAAAACACTAAGGTATTTGCCAAAACACCAAAAAATTGTTTGAGTTCTATAAGTTCTATAACAGCTTAAGACTGCGTACTGGGTTCCACAGCTTTATTCTTAAAAACTCCAAGTGTCGGATGACAAACTTTAACTGACAAGTGTCAGTGGCTCCAACGGTGGATTTTGTTGATCAAATATAATTTGTAGCTAATAAATAGCTATATAAAAATGTGACTGATATAAAACAAATACTTAACTAAAAGAATGATTTCAAGGGTAGATAATATTAAAAATAGGCATCATCAAAGAGAAAGCAGAAAAATAAATCAGCAAGAATTACTATTCTGGTTTCTGGACCACAAAAAATCACCACACTATCTCAACAACTGCCTAACCAAATCCATCATAGGTAGAAGCCATGTTCACTATGTTGAAGATATTGTAAAATATTTATACTCCGTATGGTTTATTACAATGAAATCAACTCATCCACATGTTCATTAACACTAAAGTCAACCCATTTCAATAATTCACAGCATTACTAAGCTGAAAACCCATGTATTACATCAATAAAAAGAGAGGCAGAGATAAAACAAAAGCATACATCCTAGACATTTACACTATTTAGAAAGTGATAGCATCCATTCAAGATAACAAAGTTACACAAAAAAGAAACTGTGCCACAGAGCATTAAGCTATTCAGAAAACAATGCCAAAATCAAGGTACAAATTAACATTTCTAGCGAAACATTAAATTAAAAACCATATCAAAAAACATTTATCTTGAGAGACAGTTCACCGTTCCACCAGGAGAGAACCTCAACAACAGAAATTACTTATCAGAGTTATCACATATCTCATGGACTAGATAGTGAAAGAAAGCAGTAGCAAAGTTCAAATGGATCCATATCAAACAAAATACCAGCAACTGAAGAATCTCTTAGGATTAAAGAACATCATGAACAATGCAAGCGTTTAATTGATAAAGCATGTGTTTTGTTGCTAAGATATACAGTAACAAACAGCAGTGAAAGAGCACACGTTACTGCTTCTAAATAGAGATGCATGCTTTCTTAAATCAAAATTATAGGCATAGCATACAGGCAGGCATTATTTTTTAAAAAAATGAGCCATGAAGGAGAAACAAACCTGGCAGATTTGGTTTAAGATCCACAGTCAACTGCACAGCAACTAGAGTATTGTCATCATCTCTGGTCCCTAGCACCGCTCTCGAGTCACCAACATTTCCAATAACAAGGTCTTGCCCCTAATCATGGTCAATTGCTCACTTAAGCAACTTATTTATATAAAAAATCCTACAAGTATCAAATAAAATTTTGTCCACAAACCTGCTTTATAAATGTCACTGCTGTAGTTCCACTACAAAAGCAATCAACACTTGTGTGTACTCTTAATTCCCGGTCCATTATTCTGAAAGCTTTTAGAAATGATTCTTTCAGGATCTGGTAAATTTCTGGGTCTTTCTCTGTTTCTTCAAGATCAACAGAGACCCTGGAATCTTCATCAGCAGATATAAATGAAGTATCTTCTGAATTCATGCTGCTAGAGTTAAGACTGATCTCTCTGAGAACTTCTTCACTTTTTGCATTCACTTCCCACTGAGCATGTAGCTTCTGAGGAAGGGAATCCCTTACTTTCCTAGCAACCATATGGCCATATGGTCCATGGCCATCAAAAACCCCACAAAAAATAGTATCATTTCTTGAGCAAAAGTTCTGCAAAAAAGGATAATATTAAGTAATAAGCAAAGGTAGCTCGTTAACTTTACAGGAACATAATCAATTCTCAAACACATACAGAAGAGCTCTAAGTCCAGAGGGAAAGAGCAATATCTCAAAGGAATCTCCTTTCACATTATGACATAGAAGAAGAAGAAATTGAAAAACACTAGGAAAGACTGTGCAAAGGAGACAGAGACATTAGAAAATAGAGTGTTGGTCCAGACATCTAGTCAGATGCAAATCAATTCAGGATGTCACATCGCAGTCAAACTACCAATCATACAAGTCAATTTTACTTAATATGCAGTAGTCGCCAATAATCATTCTCTACAATGAAATATCATGCACTAGAGTTTCAATGGCAAACGGATATAGCAGATTACCTATATCAAAATGCATGTTGGATAAGGATGAATATAGTTATTTCTTATCTATTATTGAGGAAAAACTGGATAAGAATGAAACTAGCTGAGAAAACAAAATTGGACAAGGAATTATAGGATAATACAAAAAATACCAAATGAATACAAAAAGGAATGCATACTAAACAATAGATAATGAAAAAATCATTACTCAAACACAATATAAAGCTTAAATAGAGAAGGTGATGTTTCAACCAGAATAATGATAAATTTATTTTAATAAACCCATTTGAACAAGAACAAGGCCTAAAAATTAATTAGTTTTAAAACATTGGAGAGGGCCATAGCAAAGAGCTAATTATGCCAGGTGATAAAAGTTAATGAGCAAATTATAAGAAGCCAAACACAAATGGTCATTCCAGATGTCTACAGCTCGGATTTCGAAACAACCAATCATACATTATTATCCCACTTCTAATTTCATTACTACGTACATAATCTACTTATCCATAAAGGCATAAATTCACTTTCACCTATCAAAATCAAATGTTACAGGAAATCAGAAACACATAATCAATAGTAATCACAATCAACATCTCATAACATCAAATTGTAGCAAAACACAAAGATGCATAAACATAAACAAAATTGGATTAAAAACCTCACCTCCCAAACAATCATAGCATCCTGGTTGGTCCCCTTCTTCCCCTGCTGAGTAAACAAAGAGGCAACCTCGGTGGAACCATTAAAGAACAACCGGCCGGGGATCTTGTACAGGTACTCATCCTTCCTATGATCAAAGGAATTACCCCGAGACCCGAATCGTTTCTTGGCATTCTTCTTCCTCCTAACCCCTAAACCCGCGGACGGAGAACCGGGGAGAGGGCTCCTGCTTTCCGCAGATAAGCAGGACCCCATTCTCAGGGCCCTGATTATATTTAGTAAGCACTCCAGACCAGCTACACAATCACACCCTCTACATTCAATTGAGGGATCCGTCACTGCTATTGTTACAAAATGACCCTCTATTTTTACTTTCTAATCAAATTCCAAACTATGAATTT